TGAGGAAAAAATTGAAATAAGTTTAATTGAAGAAAATAATATTCTTCCGTTAAAAGAATTTATTATAAAAAAATATTTTGATGAAAAAAATAGCGAAAACACAGATTCTTATTTGTGGAAAATAGTGAAAAAAGCTTGGGAATTCAAAATCCTGAGAGTGCCGACGAAGTAAATACCGTCAATAAAAATACAAATATCTTGGGAATTCAAAATCCTGAGAGTGCCGACGAAGTAAATACCGTCAATAAAAATACAAATATCTTGGGAATTCAAAATCCTGAGAGTGGCGACGAAGTAAATACCGTCAATAAAAATACAAATATCTTGGGAATTCAAAATCCTGAGAGTGCCGACGAAGTAATTACCGTCAAAAATCAAATAAATAAAAATCGTTTGAAATATAAAAATTTCAAGCCCGCCGTCGTTGAGTTATCCGACAAACAACAGATAAACAATATAGGTACTGATCAATTAGACGGACTAAAGGAAAAAATAGTTCTCTATATTGAAAAAGAGCATTCAAAGATAAATATGCAAATTCATTTTAGAACAGACAATATACGGGAAACAATATCCGTACGGTTTTTCTGTCACCGACTTTGTGAACAGCGAAATCAGTAGAATGTTAGCAGAGGAAATTATAAGGCCTAGTCGAAGCCCTTATAATTCACCAGTTCTGGTAGTACCAAAGAAAGGAGAAAATCAAGACGGAAGCCGTAAATTAAGACTCGTCATTGACTATAAAAAATTAAATGAAAATACCATACCTGACAGGTACCCAATGCAAGACCCATCAGTAATTCTATCTAATTTGGGAAAAGCAAGATATTTTTCAACAATAGATTTAGAATCAGGTTTTCATCAGATATTAATGAAAGAATCTGATGTAGAAAAAACATCCTTTTCAATAAATAATGGTAAATACGAATTTTTAAGAATGCCATTCAGACTAACAAATGCACCAAGAATTTTTCAGAGAGCAATGGACGACATCCTAAGAGAACAAATAGGGAAAACATGTCATGTCTACATGGACGACATTATAATATTCTCAAACTCGATTGAACAACATTATAAAGACTTAAACAAAATTATAAATATATTATTAAAGGCAAACATGACAATCTCTTTAGAAAAATCAAAGTTTTTTAAACGCGAAACCAGTTTTCTAGGATACATCGTATCTTATAACGTCATCAAGACAGACCCAGAAAAAATTGACACCATAATTAAATATCCGCTTCCAAATAATATTCGGGAACTAAGAAGTTTCTTAGGCCTTACGGGCTATTATAGAAAATTTGTTTTAAATTACGCCTCTATAGCCAAACCTCTAACAAAATATCTTGGAGGTCATAATGGCAAAATTTCAAAAAAAATGTCAACAAAAATTTTAATTCAGCTGGATGACCCAGCTATTAATGCTTTTAACGAGCTGAAAGAAAATCTCATTGCTCAAGTAGAATTAGTTCAACCGGATTATAATAAAAAATGTACCCTGACCACCGACGCTTCGGACGTCGCAATTGGTGCAGTATTATCTCAAGAAGGTAAACCAATTACTTTTATTTCAAAAACCTTGACTAAAACGGAACAAGTTTATGCAACTAATAAGAAGGAACTTTTAGCCATAGTATGGGCTCTTAAAAATCTAAGAAACTACTTATACGGAGTGATTGGAATTGAAATCCAAACCGATCATCAACCATTATCTTTCGCAATCTCTGATAAAAATCCTAATATTGAAATGAAACGCTGGTACTCCTTCATAGAAAGTTTCACTCCTAAAGTCATTTCTAAGCCAGGTACAACTAATGTAGTTGCAGACGCCTTATCAAGAATTCAGATCAACAACTTAACTGACAGTAACGAATCGGTCTCAGATCAAAACACTCAGCATTCAGCAGACAGTAGTTTTGAGAATGTTATACAAGAAACCCGTAAACCCTTAAACCAGTTTAAGCAACAATTGCTATTAGCAACGGGGAGGTATACAATACATGAGTCGATTAATATATTCGAAAATACCAGAAATATAATAGAATTTAACACTCCCGAAAATTTGATATCAATCATAAGAGAATATATTCCTCCTAATTTAACGGTAGGTATTCATTGTACTTTAGAGGACTTTTATAGAATTCAAAAACCACTTAAAGGTAATTTTGTGAATAAATTTTTGTATACAAAAATATTTGTAAAAGATTTAGAAACTCCTGAGGACAGAGCACTTATAATCGAAGAAACACATTGCAGAGCACACAGGGGACTTGACGAAAATTATAAACAAATCAGTAGATTGTATTATTGGCCAAACTTACTTACAAAATTAAAAGAATATGTAAAAAATTGTAAAATTTGCAATGAAAACAACTATAACAGACACCCAACTAAAATTCCAATTGGAGAAGCCCCAATCCCGAGTAAGGAAGGCGAAAATTTACACATCGACATATATTACGCGCAAAGTCTAACTTTCATAACTTGTATTGACGCTTACTCAACATTTTTAGTAGTAAAAGAAATCCAAAATAAATTAAATATCGAAAACAAAGTAATGGAACTTCTTCAACAATTTCCACAAGCCAAAGTAATAATGACAGTACCTCAAACGGACAAGTTGAAAGGGCACATTCTACACTAACAGAATTAGCTCGATGCATTAAAGAAGAATTTAATCTAACCGACTATTCCGAAATAGTAATAAGAGCCGCTCAAGAATATAATCAGAGCATTCACTCTACAACGAACCAAAAACCTTTTGACGTACTATATAATAAAATAGAGCACGATAACATTCCTCAAATTTTAAAAAATACACAAGAGAAAATGTTAGAAACACATAATGAAAACAGAAAAGAAAAAGTATATCATGTAGGACAGGTAATTTATGAAAAGAAACACGGGGAAAGAAATAAACTTAAAACTAGATATAAAAAACAAGTAGTTAAAGAAAATTACCTAACAAAATAATAATCAACAATAGAAATAGAATTATTCACAAAGAGAATATAAAATTCTAAAAATTTATGTTACTTTTTTTTTCCTTTTCCAGAAAATGTTTTATCAGGTGCTCATACTACACCTTATTTTATTAACAAAATCAGAAATAATAGACTATAGAAGTCACGAGTATCTTTTATTCAAGGACAATAAAGACGTATTGACGTACGATTCATACGCAGAATTATTCCACGTAACTAACTTAAGTTTTTATAAAGAAATAATAAAATTGGAATCAGAAAATATAAAAAGGGATACTAATAAAAGGTCACAATGGGAAATTAAATATGACATAGAAGCAATCGAATTAATTTTATCCCAATTAATATCAACTAGGTCAAAAAGGGGGATAAATGAGATAGGCACTGTGTGGAAATGGTTAGCTGGAGCTCCGGATCATGATGATTTTATTAAAATACAGAATAAAATCGATGAATTAATTGAAAATAATAATAAGCAATTTATTATCAATTCCAAACTGTTTAAAGAAATAGAATCTCTTTCTGATGATTTTAAAAATGTTTTTATTGATCAAGATTTACCACTGCGAAAACATCGCTTACGATTATTAACATTTGATCTGCAAAATTTAATTGACACAATCACACTAGCAAAAATTGACGTTTTTAATACCAAAATATTAAACAATGATGACATCATGGAAATATTAAAACATGAACAAAAACCAGTAATTATCGCTGACCTAATGGACATCTCTGTTTTTAAAATCGCACTGCATAAAGAACTTGTAATAATTTATATAAAATACCCAATAATAAAAAACAGATGCGAAATATATTACGCTAGAGCGATTTCCCAAATCGATGGGGAACTAGTATTAAGCATTCAAGTCGCGAAATGCGCAAATATGTTTTATGAAATGTCTAACTTTAAGAACGAACTTTTTAATAATTATTGCACTTTAAATAATGAAAAAACTTGTTTTACCCGCTTATTAAATGGCGAGAAACCCACTTGTAAAAAAATAAGAGAGAAAAATAACAAATTAGACATCATACAAGATGGTGCCATTAAATGGTAACAATATTGTGAACAACTCTCATTTAAACGGTTCATTTTTGATAACATTTAATGGTACAACCGAAATTAATAATATTTCTTATACCAATTTGGAAAACAAAATTCTTTACTACTTAACTACGAACCACTTCAAAAATTATGAAATATCCGATTACATATTATCAAATAACTCAGAACTTTCTTTAGATAATATAAACATTTTAAATCCTTTCATTAAAATTAATAATACCAAAATACCACTTACCTTTATATTATTAATTTTAATCATTATATATTTGATTTTTTTACTTATTATAAAATACAAAAATGTCATATTATTTGTAACCAAAAAACAACGGCCAGAACCAGAAAAATCTATTAACCAAGAAAATTTTTTAACAGAATTAAGAGATCAATTAAATGAATTTCATATTGAATCGGGACGATCCATTTTAGAATGGGGAGAGTTATCCAAAACGTGAAACGGTTCCACTTATGGAATTTATAAACAAATTTTTGAATTCAATCTCAGCTATGTTACCCTTGCCTTCAGCGACATTGCCTTTGCCTTTGTTCAAGATTCTGCCTTTGCCTTTGCCATTCACTTCGAGGGCCGCGCTTGACCGTTCTGCTAAGATAAATAAACCAATCGTAAAGTAAACACAAGCTTCCGTTCGAAGCCCAAACTTTTCCGTTCAAAGCCCACAGTATTGCGTTCTAAGTTCAGAACATATTGCGTTCCGATTTTCAATCAAATTGCATCGGTCAGCATAATTTCATTTCACAACGAGATGCGACAGTTTCAGCATAAGCTTTTATTTTAAACAAAAATTAAAGTTCTGGAAGCTTAAGAAAAGGAAAGCTTCTGGCCGAAGTTCATTGGATAATTTTTTAGAATTAAGATTCAGTCCTATTTTATCCGAGACCGCGATCGGTTCACAATTTTCAAAAAGTGTCTTGTATAAATTGATTTTAAGAATAAAGGCTTATCACCCAAGTTTTAAAAAAAAAATAAATTTTTTTAATTCATCTATTAACGACGAATTTAAATTGCATTGCGGGTGGACTTTAAAAACTTCGGTCCTACTACAAAGTATAAAATTTTTCGACTAGTGAACCTCGCGCTCACTTCTATGGTTAGTTCGCGGCTTTCGTCAATGTGAGTACTAGGCTTAAAGTAGCATAAGTACCTATAACCAAGTACTCACATCGAAGAAAACCGCGAGCTTACAATAGGAGTGAACGAGAGGCAAATTCGCGGCTAAAGCTTTTCGTCGGGTCTGCTTTTCAGCTCGGTACTTAGATGAGGTAAGGAAATACCAGAAAAAATACCAGACTTAGCGAGTGAATTTCGATGAACGCCGTTAGCCGCGGCCCAAACAATAAGAAATTTAATATTTGCCGGTGGTTGTGCAACAGCAGTGTGGACTTAAAAAAATAAAAATGGAAGGAAGACTCCAAAAACGCCTGCAGCAGGTCAGTGCAGATGAAAAAGGACGCCTAATCCAAGCTGAAGCAAGATTACAACAGGGCAAGTCCGTGGAATAGTTGAAGTGCTGGATAAGATCCACTAGAGAATACCACTGGTAAAGAACATGCCGAGTGGGACCTCGCTCCCATCGACACCCTGCCAAGCGTCTCCTCACAAATAAAGTAAGTTCTGGCCAAACAAATTTGGTTACGTTTTACTAATAGAAGTATCATTATTAGCAGAACCACCAGAACAGTCTCCGACGAGCTCTCCATTGGCGAACCACAGTAATCAATCTCCACCAGGTACTTGGCTGCTAAATCGGAGATGGAGGATTCACTGGCCTCCATAGGGAGAAGGAACTGGGTTGCAGATGGCGAAGTATCCGTGAGACGAGAAGGAAGCTTAAAACAACTAATTTTTATAAATAAAACCATCCGTTGAACATTCTAATTATTTTTATTTATATATCTTTGTTCACCTGCAGACTCTTCTTTTTTATAATTGATCCAATTGATATGTTTTCCGTTTGACAACAAGCTTAGCTGCTTGACATAAGACCATGCTACATGCAGTGCGGGTGAGCCTTGAAAGCTTCGGTCACACTATAAAGAATAAGATATTTCGACTAGTGAAACTCTTAGCCGATCTGAATACCAGGCTTATGCCACTAATGTCCGTTAAATTAGCATCGGCGAGTTAGCAACGAAAGTGGATTGAAGAAATTTGGAACATGGGGCTCTTTTTAAATTTTCTTGCAATCTGGCTGGGGACGAAATCGAAATAACTAATATGTAGAATTGTTAAGCAAAAAAGGTCAAACGATCCAGATGGGTTGGGGCAAATCAGAGGCCTCCTAATGTTTCAAAAATACATTTGAATTTTTGTTAAACTTGCTCGTCAAAATTAAAACCATAGATTTTGAGAACATCAAGTGTTTTTTTGCACGGCCACACCGGCCAGCATTAATTTCTTGTCTCCAAATAGCAAGAAAACTAAAACATAATATGAACACCCATGTTCCAAGTTCCACCATTCCACTTTCCTTGCTAACTCGCCGACGCTAGTTTGACGGACATCTTTAATAGTACATTTCCCCAGGCGAAAGAAGCATCGGTCACATTGGCTTTAAACGTTTATACAATACAAAACGCAAAATGGCAAAACAGGAGGGCTATGTAGGTAAATACTAAAAAATTGGCAGTTTCTGATGTTGCTAATGAGTACTCAACCTTAGTGGTTCCTCTACGCACCAAGCCCAATTCCAAAAGCAGCCACAGCGTCTTCATGCGGGAGCACTTTATTCATCTGATGGATCCCAACAAACCCAAGGGTCGCACACTCTTCCTGCTCAATGTTCCGCCTTACGTGGCGGAAGACAGCCTGAACACGGTCTTCAGTCGGGCGGGAAGCATTCAGGCCGTAGAGTTCGCCGTTAGGCCGGGAAAAGAGGAGACTACCAAATGGTACGAGAGCACCGGGGAAACGTTCTCCTACGCTCGCCCGTTCTTTATCTTTAAGGTAGCCTACATTGTGTTTGAGAAGGCCAGCAGCATCAACAAGGCCCTGGCCTTGGGAAGCATTGACCTCTTCAATACCAGCGGGGAGTGCATTTTCAAAACAGGCATGGAGCTCTGGCATGAGGAGTACGATAAAAACTACCTTTTGGAGGCTTACAAGGCGAAGGTACAGATCAGGAAATACATGGCCGGTTACGACAAAAGGGAGCGAGCTGCGTCGGAGGCGGCCAAGAGCGGGAAATCTGATGCCGACGGATGGGTCACCGTAGGCAACGAGGGACGCAACGCTGGCTTTAAGCAAAAGGCCTCTCTGATGGGACGCCTGGAACAAAAGGTGCCCACGGAAAACAAGTCCAAGGAATTGAAGAACTTTTACACCTTTCAGATCCGCGAGAGTAAGATGCAGAATATCATGGAGATTCGTAAAAAGTTCGAGGAGGACAAGCGAAAGATTGAGCTGCTTAAACAGTCGCGTCGCTTTAAACCGTTTTAGTCAGTAAAACTAGGTTAAGAATCGAATAAACATATATATGGTACCAGACCCAAACTGAAAAATCCAGCCAGCATGACCGCACGTAAATCGTCATAAATTTGTTTTGCCATTGACACTACCGCGACCAAGTTCTGACCACGACAAAATAAAAGTGAAATGTCATATCTTATAACCGGCGGCAGTAAAGCTTATAAAAAGTGGGCAATAGAGCTCAGCACAACAATCGCTGATAATCATCGTTGTGGAGTCGTAGCGCCAGTAACTTACTCGCCCAGTGCACACAGCACGCGATCGCTCCTCTACAATGCGTGAAAGGCATTACTGAATCCGCCCAGTTTTGGACTGCCGGCGCTATGTCGAAACAAAGGCAAAGTGCAATAATATGTTATAAAACAAAGTATGTATATCTAAACCCGTAACTCGCAGATTAGAAGGGTATGTAAGTTGCGGCAGAAAGTAAGTAACAGGTATAAGGAAGCGTTTTCGACCCTATAAAGTGTACATATATACATGTTCTTGACCAGAATCACTAGCCTAGTTGATCTAGCCATGTTCGCCTGTATGCAAAACAAGATTTTGGGGGACTCCAAAATAAAAATTGTATTTTGATTGTAAGTTTGTTTGTTTATCTCAAAACGTTATTTTAAGGTCCTGGATGATCTTAAACAGGCTTGATATAAAATCCTCACGACGAAAATCGCGAGCCAACCATAGCAGAGGCGAATAGGCGGCGAACGCTCTTCGGGTCTGTCTTTCAGCGCGGTAATCAAATAAGGTAATAGCCCTTTTAGACAGGAGGGGGTTACCGCTTCAGCGACCAAATTCCGCTTCACTGACCTTTTCCACCACCACCTCAGATCGGCTAGGAGTTTCACTAGTCGATAAACCTTGTTCTTTGTAGTGTGACCGAAGTTTTCAAAATTCACCCGCAATGTATTTGGCATGGTTTTACTGCCAAGCAGCTGCGCCTGTTCGCAAACGGAAAAGAAATCAATTGGAGCAATTTAAAAAAGAAGAGTCTGCTGGTGCACAAAAATAAATGAAATGTTAAAAAAATGTTTTTATTCATATAAATGAGAAGTTCAAGGCTTTCTTCTCGTCCTACGAATGCTTCGCCATCTTCCCCGCGCCATCTGTAGTCCAGCTCCGAATCCCAATAAGCATATTAGACCTTGAGGAAGGGGGAGCCGAATTGGGAACGGGGTTGTTCCGCATGATGCTGCATGAAGTCGTCCTGGTAATGGCTGGTGATGGTTTCTCCAGCTGTCCCTTAGCGGACGACCTTATTTCCACCTCCCTATAGAAGCCGGTGCGTCCTCCATCTTCGCTTTAGCTGCCAAGTAGCTGGTGGAGGTGGAGTCCTCAATAGAGAGCTCGTCGGAGATCGAACGATTTCCCATGTTCCTTCACACTGGGATTCTCTAGTGGATCTCCTCAAGCACCATAACTATTGCGGATTTGCCCTGTTGTGTTATTGCTTCCTGCCCACAACAATGGGCAACAACTTGGATGAGGCGTCCTTTTTCATCTGCACTGACCTCCTTTAGGCGTTTTTTTCTATTTTTAATTTTTAAATTCCCCACCGCTTCTGCATCAACACCGCCCAAGATTAAATTTCTTACTAGGCCTAACCCTAGTACTCAGATCGGCTAAGAGTTTCACTAGTCGAAAATCTTATTCTTTCGCGTGCGGACTGTTGCATGCAACGGAGGTGTTTGAGCAGTGTGTGATATTATCGATTTGTACTTATGATCTGTTTTTTTCAAAACAAAAATATATCGAAATATATACATACGTTTAAATACTGTTTATAAATATTTGTTTTTTGTTATTGGTTAAATAAATAATAATCAATTACGGGTAAAATTACCCCAAGATAAATGGCATCCTCCGAGGCCAAGGAAAAAACCCTTACTCGGAGTTGAGCAACATTGAAAGGCCGAAATTATCGCCCTTAAATAAAATGAAAAAAGCTACGGTTTGGTGGAATCGGAAAGCGAAGAAGTTGAGATGAAGGAGGTCAATGACCCTGTAAGTCGTCCGAGTCCAAGCAGTCAAGTAAGTGGTAGAAATATAACGGACCCTGCTAGCAAAGAAGAGAAGAGGGAAAGTGAAAATGTGGCAAAATTTCTGAAAACAATGACGAAAATCGACCTAGAAGAGTTCCTATAAATCCACTTAAATTAAATACTGTCTTGTTAAAACTAAAAATTAAAGATATAATTTCAATAAATAAGATTTGTTATGGGCGCTGCAAGGCTGAGTGCAAGTCAGCAACGGCAGCTAATATCATCCTGTCCTCTAATCTTAAAAGTAATGGTTACGAACCAAAAATTCTTAAGCATTTCATTTTTAAAATGGGTATTATTTTTAATATTCCGACAAAATTTTCCGACTCTGATCTTAAGGAGTACCTATACAAGAATTAATTCGTGTGAAGACTAAGGACTGATACAACAAAGATTTTTTTATCAACACTCCTAGGATTAAGATTCTGATTAAAGGTTCTCAAATTCCCAACGAGATTGTCTTTCTGTACACCAAAATTAATGTTAGTCCATTTGTTCCTTTTAGTCAATGTTTACGTTCTTTTAGATTTTTCTCAGCATTGTAAAAAAACTGAACAAAAATGATTTAAATGTTCTCTATCGCACTCAAGAGAACAACAATGTAGTCAACTCGTTTGTGTCAACTGCAAACCAAATCACTCAGCCACCTCTCTTGAGTGCCCTGCTCGTAAGAGAGCGTACGCTATCCAGAAATGTATGACTCTTGAAAATTTATCACGAAATGAAACGAAGATTAGGTACCCCTCTCTTCCAAATTTTAGATGAAGCCGACACCATCGATTTAACCCATTTCCCCCAGCCAACATGGCAAAGAAAATCCGCCATTCCAGTGTTACAAAATAATACCAAAATAGCTACCCAACATATATTTGCACAAAACCCTTTTAACAAGGTTGTTAAGAACTCTCTTAACAAGAGAAACGAAGATAAAAATTCCCGCGACACTATGATCAGCTGTAGAGCTGCTCTTCATGAACACGAGTACACTCTAAACGAAAAGTTTTCTCACATTCATTCTTATCCGCCTAGTTCCTCACCCTCTAGTCAACCTTTTTTAGACAATCCAGCTCTTGAAGCTGCGGAGATTTTTAGTCAACGAAACAACCAGTTTTTTTTTATTTGTTCGTTTTTCCTTTTCTCTTTTATTTGTCTATCTGTTTTCATTTGAAAATAAAACCTAAAATTATATTATATAAATGACAACAAAAATCCTAATATTCAGAGCTTAGCTGCTAATAATAACAAATAATTACTGGAATTATTCTTAGTAAATAACAACATAGACATAGCAATTTTATCAGAGATATGGGTTTCCAATAATTCCATGTGTAGCTTGGCAAATTATAGTTTTGTATGTAAGCCTCGTAACAATGGTTATGGAGGCGTTGGAATCACAAATCAACTGTAATATTAGCTTGGAAGTCATTAATATCTGTACAATTAACCTAAGAAATAATATTAATATTTTCAGTGTCTATGCTGCACCCAGCACAGACATTAGTTTTTCTCAACAAGGTAGCGATGATCTGTTTACTACTGCTGTTCAATCGAGTGGTCTAACTGTCATAGGTGGTGACTTTAAAGCCAAATCCAGCATTTACTCAAGATGCCAGAGGCGGCGGTTTCTATTGCCTTAACAACGGCTCTCCAACTTACTCTCATAACCCATCCTATAGGTCAACACTCGATCTCACTTTCATTAATAGTAGCAATCTTTGTTCTAACTGGTCCTCAATATTCTAAAATATCAAATAGCAATCATTTCCCAATCTTAATTGAAATAAACAAAATTTCTGCTTCGACTAATATTATTAAATTTAACCATCAAAATATAATTCAAGACTTTTCCAAAATTCAAATTACAACGATAGATAGCATCTCCAACTCATCCCAAACAATACACTCTAACAACTCAATTAAAATAAATACAAACAATAGATATGTTCAAAAAAAGTATTGGGACGAGATCTGTAAAAAATTGTTTCGATTAGGAAACGCGTGCAGACAAAAATATTTTAAATCCAAACAATCTCGTAACCCAGACTCGGCTAAGGGTCTTGACAACATTTCATACAGAATGCTTTTAGCTCTACCCTTAGAACAAATAGTAAAACTGGTATCCCTGCTAAACATTACTTCAGACAATGGTGTTATTCCAGAACAACGCGGAAAATAAAGAAAATTAAATAATAATTAATCAGTTTGGGTATCGATCACAATCATATCTATTTTATTATCAGTTTCCTTTGTAAAAGACTTCTTACTATGGGTACTGCAGAGGTTACAGTAAACAAAGGAGTTAGTCAAGGTAGTTGTCTGAGTCCAATCCTCTTTAATTTACATACAGCTGAGCTTCACAGCTTAAGTAATGACCATGGCAGTATTTTGTTCCATTACGCTGACGACTTTTTTCTAGTCTGCTATGACAAAGTCGTTTCGATGGCTGAGAAGAAATTAGAACAAAAAGTAAATAGATTTGTGGAATTGTGCAATATTAAAAATCTTACTTTTAATCCAAACAAAACAGCAACCATTCACTTTAATCTAAGAAAAAAACCTTTAAGTGTCTTGTACAATAATATTATTTTAAAAAATGTAGATAGCGTAAATTATTTAGGTACAGTCATAAGTTCAAATAACTCGTCTGTTCAGCATGTAAATAAAACGATCTCTAAATCGAATCAAACGATTATGTTTATTCAAATGCACAGTGGCTGCCGCTTCGGAGTACATCCAAGCAAGTCATTACTTTTTATAAAGCATTTATTATAACTAGATATGAATATGCCCGCTCCTTTTTTTAAAACATTTCGAAATCAGTACAAAGCAACATAAATAAGCATGCTAATTTTCACCATAGAAAGGCCTTAGGACTAATTAAATCGACTCCAATTAATATTATTTATAATCTTGCAGCTGAACTATCTCCAGCTTATAGGATTAAATTCGCTACAGCGAAGGAGTTGGCCAAAACGTTCGCTCATGGACTACCATCTGCGTCGCTTCTGTCTAACTTCTTTGTAGCCAAAAATACTAGTTACAGTAGTGTTTATGCTGAATTTAAATATATCCTGGATAGTATTGCTCCTATTTGTCCTTATTC